ATGTATCTTCGATTTCGCTTGAAAAAAAATTTAAAATCTAGCGATAACTTTAAATAATGCAGTAATTGATCATTTCACTCAAAAACAAAGGCGAATACCACTCATTTATAAATCTTAATGTTTTTATGGTTTGAGTTTGACTATAATAAAATAATAAAAATTTTTGATTGCTTCCCTAGTAGTGAACTTGACGCTTCGTCACTGGTTTAAGGTGATATTTTTAGATTGTATTTTGTTCAATTGTGATATGTAAATTGGACATTAGTATATGTTTAATTTATTTTGAAAGAAATTATTTTGTAAAACTAAATCCATACATATATATATATGAATTGGAAAAGAAAAACTTATATATATATGAAATTTTCTTAAATAATTTATTTTGAATAAAGTTGAATTGCATAACTTTTTAATACATTCGATTTTTATTGCAATTTTCTCACTTTTCACACATTCGATTTTTATTGCAACGTTCCCACTTTGCAACAACATATATGGGTCCAGGACTCACAAATATCTGATTTTGAATTTGATTAATATTCTTTTAAATAACAAGAGTTTATTTATTTTCATTTTATTTTAATAAATACCTAACTAAATTAAATCTATAAATAAAATATTCCAATTTTATAGAAAATTATAGGCGAGCCGGATATTTCGTAATATTTTAATGGGCCAGCCCGGTAATTAAAATTTTACGATATTTTTTTAAAAGAGCCTTACCTTAATTGATATTGGGAATAAATATAGATTGGATATTGGGAATAAATATAGATTGGATATTGGGAATAAATATAGATTGGATATTGACATTAAAAATGTGATGGCCAGAAAATTCGTACAATATTTAACGGACCCCGTGCCTGACTTTTCGTAAAATTTATATTAAAATATTTAATCGGGCCGGACAAACATGAAATAACGGGCCTGCAGTTATCTTGTGAGAAAAATTTTAACAGGCTGAAAAGGGCCGAGTCCTAATTTTATTTGTTACAAAAAAAAGTATACATAATATATCTCAGACTGAATTACTTTCTTGTCTACCTCGAAATTTGGCATAATAAAAGATTTGGAAATATTTTTGATATTTCTAGACACCATTTCCAATCATTAATTTAAAATTAATGAGCTGATTGTGACGATAACAAAAGAATTTGGAATATCTCTTACTTGATGAAGAATGTTATTCTCAAAGATGATATTAATACATGGAAACAACTCAAAAATTCATCTTCTTTTATTGAGAATGATTATTTTTGCTTTAAGTAAATACCTTCCAAAAATAATGAAATTGAATTAGATATATTAAATTATCTAAGATGATTTTCTTGATATTGATAGCTTGAAGAAATATTTAATTTTTTTTTAAATATAATACAATTTTGCCCTCTTCGGTTCCCGATGAGCTGCTATTTAGTTATGCAAATATAGTAAATAGGCCAAATTGGCATAGGACATTTTTTAATTTAAAAATAATGATTATTTTAAAATATTTTTAGGGCTGTGCCAATATTAAATATCGGATCGGGCCGATATTTTTTTAAAACCGATCCGATCTTATATTTTTTTTATTGTTTTGGGTTATTTTATAAATAATTTCATAACAATATATTAATGAAAGGAACTAAAATACAATTAATTTATTATAATGTTTAAAAAAAATAGTCTAAAACACTATTTTTTGTTATATTATCTGCAATAAGAAAAGGATTTTAAAATATCTAACGAGTCACATTCAGCTAGTGTTGTTAAACGGCTAGATATAGCTAATTTTTAAAAAAGTTTAACTCAAGATTTTGGCTAAAAGTGAATTACTTATTATTGATTTTGCTCATTGATGACAGAAAGATTTGGACTTCTATTAGGAAAATTTCGAGGCTTAGACAATAATATTTTGGCAAAATTTTGCTTTAGCCCTTTTTAAAAATCGGCTAAATGGAGTTGTTTGCAACACTAGCTATACCCTAAAAACATTGCAAATATTTAAAAAGATTATTAACCTTTGGAGAATAAAAAAGATAAAATGCACCTTGAAAGTTAGCTGGATTTTTAAAAATAAAAAAAATTTAATATTTTCATGACATTGATACAAAGATAGATGGTAAATAAATAAATAAAAATATAGGATCGGTATCGGAATCGGTTTTTTATTATAGGTGAAAAATTTGTGCGACATTAAAAGCGACCACCAGTGGCAAGAGTTGCGGTATTCGTGGACCCACGACATGGAACTCTGGAAAAATAATAAAAAATGAAATAGATTCTGACGACCATGGAAAAGACTTAAAAAGCTTGTAACATACAAAGAGAAGACTACGCCAAATAACACCACAGTACCCGTCTTGGTTCAAGGCTTGAAAAATGCCATATCATCTAGACCAGATTCGCTCTAGATGCTCTCCTCTCCTGGACGGTTAATGGATAGCGGCTAAATTAGAAGAGATAGCGAGCCTGTATATACGTTTGAATCCATCAGAGCAAACAGATTAAAATAAAATGGACCTAACGGTGTTTGACTCTTTTTAAGAGGAGATGACAAAGGAGAAAACTTTTGAGCAACCGAAAAGAAGTACAGGCCAATTAGGCGAAGATGTAAGAAGTTTGTTGTTCAAAAGTTGATAAATGATACAAGAGGGTTCAGAAATAAAGTCGACAAAATTAGAAAAGATGAACGACATCCACTAAACAAAGAAATCAGATTAAAAGTACCGAATGGGCACCTTCTATTGCTATAAACAAGGCTTTCACATATGCCCTTATTAATGCATAGATTAAAACGTTTATTGATTAATTAAAATTTTTGAATATATTTTGTGTTTTATATTTGAAAATAGGTATTTGCCAACTAATATGATTTTCAATTTTACACTGTCGTTTAAATGGCAAAAAGCATCTTTTACTAATTATAAATAGTGCCCAAACTAAAAGAGATTAGTACGAATATTCTTTTTATTGTAGCCTCAATTAACCCAAATATAAATTTAAAAATGTTAAAATTGAGCAAAGAGCATGTCATCTAACCCTGATCTCCCCTACTTTATTGAGGTTTTGCACTCATGCAAACTTGTACTATTATACTATATGGAAACTACCACATAAGCCATCAGGAAGGAAAGTTTCAGCTTTTGTTCTTATCCGCCTAATTTATTTACCTTATATAAAGAATATCTAATTTGATAACTGTTTTCTCAATTTCAGAAATATCATCAAATCATATTTCTGAAGATGAGATATGCAAATTATTATCATATTTTTAAAAAAAACATGCCAATTTTTTAGAACAGATTTTTGTAGAATCATCTTTTTTGAATTAGTTATCTTTAAAAGTCCTCCATATATTAAGTATGCTCAAAAGCCAAGTATTTTTATATTCCTGTAGTATTTTTTTTTAATAGTAGATCAACTTATGGATAATTCTTTCCCAAAAATTTTTCTCTGGTTAATGATCTCACAAGTAATATTATTTGTGGTCTTACCTACACCCATTTGAATAAAATAAAACTAAAAAATGCTACAACACTTAATTAAATTTTATTATAATGTAAAAAATAAGATAATTGTTGATTTTAAAAAATTGAATAGATAAACTAACAAGGGGGTGGTGATCATAGCTTGGTGAGCTGATATCTATGAATAAGGTAATTTAAAACAATATTTTTATTATTATTTATAAAAATAAAATTTTAAATAATTTTTATTTTAAAATTTAAATTTTTTAAGAGAATAAATTTTCATTTAATTTGAAAATTAATATAGGACAATAATTAATAGTGATTGCATAACAGTGAGGTGGAATATTATATTTTACTCATATTGTAAAAATTTATATTTAATAAATATTATTATAATAATGTAAAATAATGTGAAAGGTTTATTATTTAATATAAATGGTCGGTTGGACCCAATAGGTAAGTAATGTTATAATTTTGGTCTGATAAGCTAAAGCTAAGAGTTAAATAGAGTGTGGTGCCACTTATAAATTTGAATACGAGGCCAATAATTATATTTATCTTAATTAGCAGAGTTGTTAAAGGATCTAGATATAAGTATCTAGATCCTGTATCTAGATATAAAAATGTGGTATCTGTATCTAGATAGATTTTTGATTAAAATATCTGTATCTAGATATTATTTTAGACGATGTATCTGTATCTACTATATAAAAAGTATCTTTTAACAACTCTGTAGATCAGATAAATATTTACAAAAAATAAAATCTCATCCAATATTTTCATATCATTTGCTATTTTATGTCATAATTATATAATATATTTTTATTTTGTATATAATTTACAAATTTAAAAGGTTTTTTATAATGTTTAAAAAAATCAAATTATTTTAAGAGTAGGTAAAAATATAATATTATGTAATGTTATATTATTTGTAATTGCATCAAGAAAAGGATTTAAAAATATTTAAGAAGTCACATTCAGTAATAATCATTGTCTAAATTTTAAATAAGATGATTGCCTTTTGGGTAATAAATAACAAAAACAATTAATAAATCATGAATGCACTTTTTGGACATAAGAAAAAAAAGTTTTTTTGTGATTTCATCTTGAAAAATTTTTTATGCATGAAAATTACAAAATATTTACTTATAAATTTTCATTTTTTAAAGAATATATTTGATTTAATTTTACCTAAAAATGGCAAATATTTTTTTTTTGAAAATCTTAAACTCTTCATAAGGCAGAAAATTTTAAAAATGTTTTTCCCAAAATTACAATTAGTTATTTTATTGCAAAAAAAATATTGTATGTTTTATGACATTAGTTCAAAAATAGATAGTAAATAAAAATCAATCTAAATATCAGATTGATATTGGTAATAGTTGATTTTGCATGGTTATTAGAAATATTGGATTAGATAAATCAAAAATTTGTGAATCAGCACAACCCTAGTTAAATATTGTTTATTGCTTTTATATCTGTTTCAAAAATTGTTATATACATGTCATAAAAACATTTTAATATATTTTTAAATAATATTAGATATACCACTGCAAGTAAATGTGACTTTATTGGTGTTGGAATACCAAACAATCATTTTAAATGTAAGTGCATTGTAAGAATTTTGAAAATCTGATATGTATGTATAAGCAGGAAGAAAATTGAATTTCAGTTTTCTATTAATTTGATTTTGAATTAGCATTAATCTGCTTTCATATATTGTATGTGCTTTATTATTGTTCAAAAGAATGTGAATTAATGTTTTTAATTCTTCGATTGATTTTGTGTTTTTAATTATGATAATAGAATCGTTAATAGGTGTTACAATTCCTTCATTAACCTAATTAGACTTTAATTTTTTTAAATTAATATAAAAATTAACCTTTTCCTCCTTCTTTAAAGTTGGGCATATATTTAAAGCATTTTTATTATATTGATAATTTTTAGATGAACTAGATTTTTTTAATAAGGGATCAAAAAAGTTCAAAATATTTTCACATTCGTCATTTAAATCGATGAGATTTAAATCCATTATAGTAAGTAGTTGAGGGGCTAATGATACTTATCACCAGAGTGGGTAAATATCATTTATTAATGAAATAACTAATCCAATTGTGTAAAAGATATCAACAATTTTTTTGTCTTTAAAATTTATTATTGTTGCGTTTGACCATTTTCCGGTTTGGGCTTAATTATACTATCATATGTTTTTAACAATGATAGATTGCCGATTCCAATATGTCATTGGTACATCCCTAAAAAAATAAATAATTGTTTTGTTTAAAAAAAATTATCGTGGTTGACAAGTGATTATGATTAGTCTATATTTTGTTTATTTGTAATTTAATGGCCCCTATATATAAATAAAAATGAATATTAAAACTTAAAAGATATCGTTGTTTAAATGTCGACTACTGAGCCAACTCATCTAGATTATTATTTCTAATTCGATATCACTAATTAATAAGGAATTGAATTACTCGGTCTCTAATTTTTAATTGATAGATTATAAGAAGAGAACAATTTTTAAAAAAAAGTAATATAATATTAAATAAATATGATTATTTTTCATGTTAATATTGAAATATTTGTCCTCTATATATAAAAATATGATTGCGCAAAATATTCACAATAAACAAATATAATAAGTTTGTTTGGAGTAAGTGCTTCTGTCCATGATTGGGTCGATGAAAGGATCAATTTTTGAAAAAGGAATCTAATATTAAATATGAATATTTCTATGCTAATATTGAAGTATTCGCCCACTATATAAAATATAATTGAGAAAAATATTCACAATCAGTTAACAATAAAATAATTAAGTTGGTTCTCAGGTCGATGATCTGGTCGGTGCTCACAAAAAATTTTAAAATGAAAGATTATGACACTTGTCACTTATTTAGGGCACATCTTCCATGAAATTATATTTAAACATGCTTGGTACATTTATTTTTGCCAATTTGCCATAAAAAAATTTAAAAAACTTTAAAAATAACGATTATGACAATTGTCTCTTATCCAGGGTACATATTAACTGAAGTTTTATATAAATATGTTTGCAATATTAATTATTTCCAATTTGCGACTGAAAAGAAAGAAGGAGAATAAACGTGCTAGTAAGTAAAGATATATTTCATTATTATTCACTGTTTCTTTTCTTTTTACACATGCTATATATATACTATATAAAATTATAATATATATGATTAAACAAAAAAACAAAAAGTAAGATTACGAAAAATAAAAAGTAATATAAGTTGAATTTGAATTCATAACAAAAATAAAAATATTATTTGAATAAATATAATGAATGTACGTTATATAAATTAAAACATATAACCAATATTTTAATTTATTAATTCCTATAATGTAACAGCGATAAAAAATCAATAAACTTTAAAATTAATGATTATTACAATTGTCACTTATCTAGGGTAGATCTTCCCTGAAGTTTTATTTAAACATGCTTGCTACATTTATTTTTGCCAATTTGAGTCAAAAAAATTTTATTAACCTTAAAAATAATGATTATGACGATTGTCACTTATCCAGGGGTTCATATTAACTGAAATTTTATTTAAACATGTTTGCAATATTCATTTTTTCCAATTTGCGACAATAAACTTTAAAAATAACCATTATGACAATTGTTAACTTTCTAGGGTACATCTTAATTATCAAACATGTTTAAAATTAATTTTGACCATTAAAGTCAAAAAATCGAATATCTTAAAAATACAGATATAATTATCATTTATTCAAGGAACATCTTCATTTAATTTATTTATCATCTTTATAATGAAAATTTTATTTTTACCCTTTTGTGCAAAAAATTTCAAAAATGTTTAAAAATAACGAATATTATCACAATTATCACATTAAATATTATCCTTAAAAAGATCTTATAAATAACATAAAAAAGTTTGATAAAATTATTCATACACTTCGGATTTAGTGGTTTATATGAAAAATGTATAACTATTTTAAAAAAGTAAATTTGTTCATAAATTTAGAAAACATATTATGTTTTATCTTTAAAAGGGTGTATAATCATCTGCCATACATTTTGAATTACTTGACCTATCTATCAGTATATCGATATGCAGGACACGTTCTAGCCATCAAATTTAACCACACTAGTTGTGTATATCTAAATATGTTTATTCACATAAATTTTATCGCTTCAGTAAAAAAGCAGATGAAAAAGCATTCTTAATTTATAATCTTCAGCTTTCAAATATCAAATTTTAATAGAAAATACAATAAGTGACGTCAATGACTAAAATAATATATACGTGACCTATCTAGTGTTGTTAATCGGCTTAGCCGAGTCGGCTCGAACAGAGCTCACCCAAATTTTGGGTCATTTTTTTCGACTCCAACTCAAAGTTTTGGTCGTTTTTTACGACTTCGACCCGAGTTCAAGCCGAAAAAAACGACTTCGACCCAAAATATGGGTCGTTTTTTTCGACTCCGACCCAAGTCCAAGCCGAAAAAACGACCTCGACCCAAAATATGGGTCGTTTTTTACGACTCCGACTCAAAATTTGGGTTGTATTTTTCGACTTAAACTTGAAATTTGGGTCGTATTTTTCGACTCAAACTTGAAGTTTAGATCGTATTTTTTGACTCCAACTCAAAGTTTGGGTCGTTTTTCTGACTCAGACTCAAACATCGGGTCGTTTTATTCAATCCGACCCAAAATATGGATCTTTTTTTTTTAGTTAGGGTTGCTTTTTTTCACCCCTAACCCAATATCTAGATCATTTTTTTCGACCAAAAGTCTAATAACATTTAGTATATATTAATATTATCAGCGGGAAAGTTACTTAAAGCTTCTTTAAATTATAATATTCATCATAGTTATATTTTAAAATTTTTAAGTGAAGATGTACCATAGAAAAGTGCCATTTGTCATGATGGTTATTTTTGAACTTTTTTAAATGAAATAGATAAAAATATATATTGTAGACATGTTAAATCAAAATTTCAGTGATGATGTACCATAGATAAGTGATAATTGTCATAATCGCTATTTTTGAACTTTTTTGAGTTTTTTTAAAGCAAATTGCTAAAAATATATATTCTAAACATGTTAAATTAAAAATTCAGTGAGGATGTATCATAGATAGGTGACAATTGTCATAATCGCTATTTTTGAACTTTTTTAAATTTTTTTAAAGGAAATATCTAAAAATATATATTCTAAACATGTTAAATTAAAAATTCAGATGTACCATAGATAAATGACAATTGTCATAATCGCTATTTTTGAACTTTTTAAAAATTTTTTTAAAGGAAATAGCTAAAAATATATATTCTAAACATGTTAAATAAAAAATTCAGTGAGGATGTATCATAGATAGGTGACAATTGTCATAATCGCTATTTTTGAACTTTTTCAAATTTTTTTAAAGGAAATATCTAAAAATATATATTCTAAACATGTTAAATTAAATTCAGTGAGGATGTATCATAGATAGGTGACAATTGTCATAATCGCTATTTTTGAACTTTTTCAAATTTTTATAAAGGAAATATCTAAAAATATATATTCTAAACATGTTAAATTAAAAATTCAGTGAGGATGTATCTTAGATAGGTGACAATTGTCATAATCGCTATTTTTGAACTTTTTCAAATTTTTTTAAAGGAAATATCTAAAAATATATATTCTAAACATGTTAAATTAAAAATTCAGTGAGGATGTATCATAGATAGGTGACAATTGTCATAATCGCTATTTTTGAACTTTTTCAATATTTTTTAAAGGAAATAGCTAAAAATATATATTCTAAACATGTTATATTAAAAATTGTCACCTATCTAAGATACATCCTCACTGAATTTTTAATTTAACATGTTTAGAATATATATTTTTAGATATTTCCTTTAAAAAAATTTGAAAAAGTTTAAAAATAGCGATTATGACAATTGCCACCTATCTATGATACATCCTCACTGAATTTTTAATTTAACATGTTTAGAATACATATTTTTAGCTATTTCCTTTAAAAAAATTTGAAAAAGTTCAAAAATAGCGATTATGACAATTGTCACCTATCTATGATACATCCTCACTGAATTTTTAATTTAACATGTTTAGAATACATATTTTTAGCTATTTCCTTTAAAAAAATTTGAAAAAGTTCTAAAATAGCGATTATGACAATTGTCACCTATCTATGATACATCCTCACTGAATTTTTAATTTAACATGTTTAGAATATATATTTTTAGCTATTTCCTTTAAAAAAATTTGAAAAAGTTCAAATATAGCGATTATGACAATTGTCACCTATCTATGATACATCCTCACTGAATTTTTAATTTAACATGTTTAGAATATATATTTTTAGATATTTCCTTTAAAAAAATTTGAAAAAGTTCAAAAATAGCGATTATGACAATTGTCACCTATCTATGATACATCCTCACTGAATTTTTAATTTAACATGTTTAGAATATATATTTTTAGATATTTCCTTTAAAAAAATTTGAAAAAGTTCAAAAATAGCGATTATGACAATTGTCACCTATCTATGATACATCCTCACTGAATTTTTTATTTAACATGTTTAGAATATATATTTTTAGCTATTTCCTTTAAAAAAATTTTAAAAAGTTCAAAAATATCGATTATGACAATTGTCACCTATCTATGATACATCCTCACTGAATTTTTAATTTAACATGTTTAGAATATATATTTTTAGATATTTCCTTTAAAAAAATTTGAAAAAGTTCAAAAATAGCGATTATGACAATTGTCGCCTATCTATGATACATCCTCACTGAATTTTTAATTAAATATGTTTAGAATATATATTTTAGCAATTTGCTTTAAAAAAACTCAAAAAAGTTCAAAAATAGCGATTATGACAATTACCACTTATCTATGGTACATCATCACTGAAATTTTGATTTAACATCTCTACAATATATATTTTTATCTATTTCATTTAAAAAAGTTCAAAAATAACCATCATGACAAATGGCACTTTTCTATGGTATATCTTCACTTAAAAATTTTAAAATATAACTATGATGAATATTATAATTTAAAGAAGCTTTAAGTAACTTTCCCGCCGATAATATTAATATATACTAAATGTTATTTGACTTTTGGTCGAAAAAAATGATCTAGATATTGGTATGGGTGAAAACAAGCAACCCTAACTTTAAGTCGTCTTTAAAAAAAAGATCCATATTTTGGGTCGGATTGAATAAAACGACCCGATGTTTGAGTCTGAGTCAGAAAAACGACCCAAACTTTGAGTTGGAGTCGAAAAATACGATCTAAACTTCAAAAGTTTGAGTCGAAAAATACGACCCAAACTTCAAGTTTGAGTCGAAAAATATGACCCAAACTTCAAGTTTGAGTCGAAAAATACGACCCAAATTTCAAGTTTGAGTCGAAAAATACCACCCAAATTTTGAGTCGGAGTCGTAAGAAACGACCCATATTTTGGGTCGAGGTCCATATTTTGGGTCGAAGTCGTTTTTTTCGGCTTGAACTCAGGTCGAAGTCGAAAAAAACGACCCAAACATTGAGTCGGAGTCGAATAAAACGACCCGAGCTTTGGGTCGGGGTCGCGACTTGCGGCGTTTTAACAACACTAGACCTATCATAAATAAAAAACGGTCATGTGACATTTGACATAGTGTCAGTTGTTTATTTTTTGTAAAACGATATATTCGATATTAACTAAAATACCAAAATATATGGACAATACTGTCGATCAGAATGAATTTGATCCACTGAAAGATAATTATTACCAATTTTTTTCTATAGACAAAGATGTAAAATTATTTTATAAATATTTAAACATGATTTCTTAAAAATAGGCTAACCAAAATGAAATAAATTCTGCTTATAGAAGATTAAGTAAGATTTATCACCCTGATCGACATGAAGATTCTTACAAAAAGGAACAAGCATCTATTATTTTTAACAAGGTGAATAAAATTCATGGGGGTATTGTTTTTGTAAAATAATCTCATAACTTGAAATAGTTTTAAGTGATTCTCAAAAGAGGGCAATTTATGATACTATTGGGGAAAAGGGACTTGTTATTGGTGGATGGGAGGTACTGATAAATTATTTAATTAATATAAATTTATTTTAGTTAATTGAAAAATTTAAAACATCTGAAGATATAAGAAAAGAGTTTGAAAGAATGAGTGCTATTGAAATGGAGAAAAAAAATCAAATGTTGGCTAACCCTAGAGGCAATATTACCATAACTTTGAATGCTACAGATCTCTTTTCGCCTTATAATTATAATGATTCTTATTTTCAAGAGTATTCAACATCTAAATCAAATAATATCATTTTCAATTTTATTCGAGCAGCTTTCAAGTAAAATTTATAAAACAATTTGTACTATTTTATTATTATATCTATTAAAATATAAATTTTATTAATTGTAAAAATATCAAATATTTCTTGCAACATATTATAGGTGTATTTAATGATAGTCAGACCAAACTGAAATAAAAAGAGCAGAAGATTAATATTAAAATATAATAGAAAAACTGGACTAGACCAATTTTTAAAGTCTTACAAAACCTCTATTAAGACCTGTAGCCAAGAAAATGAAAAAATATTCTAACATGCCTTTAGTTTTTCTTGTTTTGTTTTTACTATTTTTGTGATCTTAAAGAATTAAATTTTAATAAAGAGCTGGAAATGCTATTTTTATTTTTAATATTAGTTTTCTTACTTTTTGTAATATTTTTGCTGTTTTTTTAAAAAAATCCACTTTTCTAATTTTTTTTGCATTTATTTTTTTTAAAGTTGTATTTTTCTTTTGTTTTACCAGTTTTTTTAAGTACACATTTGCCTCTTTTTTTTTCATTATTTCCCCAGCCCTACCACTATGATGACCTTTTTATTGAGATGTAGATTATGTTTTGGTCAATATAATATATTTGAAATTTATACTATATAATATCATTTAACAAAAAATAATTAAAATATGACATATATTTTATTATATCTTATTAAATATATTTTTATAAATATAATTGCAAAACACTTATTATCATATAAAAAAATACTTATAAATCTCAAATTAAAATATTTACTATTTAAAGAATTTCAGAATGCAGACCAAAAAGACTAAATCAAAAACTAATTACAAAGATTGGACCAAAGACTTTTGTTTAAATTGGGCAGTTCTCTATTTTTTGGACTAGATCTTTGATCTTAACTAGATTATCCAGTATTTTCTTGAAGGGGCAGGATCTTGGATGCCTTTACAAAATATATTTTACTAGATAATTTTGCGCCATTTGAAACCCATTGAAGAAAATTTGTTAAAAGATACTCTTAAAATGCATCTAACTGATACTTGGCTTAGAGGGTATATTTTTCAGGGATCCAAACCAAACTTTTAAAGTGGTCTTAACAATTATTTTTTTATCCAACCTTAACTATTAAATTTTTCCAAATCTTTGAACTGAACTGCAAAAAATTCATATATAAACCAGTTTGAACCTCATGATTTTATGCTTATGAAATCAAGTTAAATTTATTTAGTATATGCATTCTAATTTATATTCAAATGGGTATAAAAATTATTATTGATATAATTAAAAAATTTCTTTATGAAAACTGCATAGAACATTGATTGATAAAAAAAATTGATCTCCAAATTTTAAGCCATAATTCTGGTGCAGATATTTATTCAAGTCATTTTCCCTCATTTTCAAAGCTATCCATTAAACAGAACTTCATTATACTTACTGCAGAAATTATTTTTAAAATAAAAGTTTAATTTCTGTATTGAGCTACATTTGTAAATATTCACATACATAATATTTAATTATTATTGGCAATATGTTCCTAATGATTTAATTTTTTTAAATATGTCACTATCAATAATGTGTCATTGACTAAAAGGCACCTAAGAATCTGATAAAAATTATCCCACTTATTTCATTCAAAGTAGATTGATTAATCCTAATAACTTACCTATTTGAAAAAATTTTAAATTGTTATTTAAACATTTAAAAGATTTAGTTAAAATTGGACTATTCTTGCCTGTAATGTTCTTAGATTGTCTCAATCATAACAATCATAAAAATTTACTAAGCTTTGAGGCCAGTGTATAGTTTTTTTTTCAAGATTCCTTTAAGTTTAAATCTCGATCATGGCTAAGATGATAGTTTTCTCTTATAAATACGATTTAACCTTTTTAGAGTCGTCTCAAAACTTATTAAAATTGGAACCTTTACTCACCACTACTTTTTGGTGGTGAACTGTGTTGTTAAATGGCTCGATTTGAGCCGAATTTTAAAACGGCAAACTCATATTAATTAGAGAAATATTATGTAAGCCTAAAGATTTTGCTCATGTTGAAAATCTAGTAGCGAAATCTCGAGGCTTAGACAATATTTTTCTGGCTAAAATATTGAGTTAGCCGCTTTAAAAAATCTGCAAATCGAGACATTTAACAACACTATCGTGAACCTCAAATAATAAAGTGGAAGTCTCAAAAAAAATTTGCTGTTTAAGATATTAATGGTGGTTATTAATATCTATTTTATAAAAAATTTTAATGGATCGAGAGCCTCACGTATCCTGTTTTTTTTTATTACTCTTTGTTTTAATATTTAATATGATTAATATTTTTAAAAAATATTATTTTATCCTTTATTATCCTGATAAAATTTCTTATATTCATAAAAATTATTAAAAAGAAAGAAATTAATTTTTTTATTTTTGATAATAAAAATATTGAAAAATGAGATTGCTACTGGCTATAAAAAAATAAGAATAATAAAAAAAATTCTATTTTTGACTATAAAAATTTAGTTTTTTAACAATAATAAAGAAAAGGAATTCAAATTTAAATTTTGAAAAAAATATTAAATTTTTTTGGTGGGTGAGCTCAGACAATCCCAAAATTTGGAAAGGGGGCTAAAAATAAAAAAAATTAGCTAGTGGGCTTAGCGCCTTTCGCAATACGCCACTGTTCCTATGTATGTACACTTTTAATTAATAAATCGCCAATCTCATAAATGGTTATTGTATAAGGATAAATTAAGTCCAATATATAAATTATTAGTATCATAAATAATACATCCAAATTTAAAGTTACAGATTGTGATATAATTATGAAAGGCCATGATGATGCAAATATTGAACTTTACATCAAAATAAAGCAATACTCAAAAACTTGCAAAATTAAAAAATATCACAATGGATCAGCAGCGGTATTATCATTTAATGCCTTGAATACTAAATCATTGAGATAATTTTCAATCTCAAGGGAATAAGGGCAATTTTCAGTGGTAATGTTGTTAGACTCCTCGTTAGCTTTAACAGCATCAGCATAAGATCCTCACTAACTATATATGGGTGATTCCACGTCAAATCGACCAAATTTTCGGCCGACCATCTCAAAAATGAATGAAACTTGGCATGTTAGTTATTTATGTTGTTAATATTAATAAAATCAAAATTTTAGAGTGCTAACTCAACCAGATCCAAAGATACACCCCTTCAAAGTAGAAATGAAGTGCGTGATTTCATTAAATCTTGTTTTTTTAAAAAATACTTAAGATAAAGTTACAAATTATATATAATTTTATTGCCCTTAAAATTTTACGTTGGAAAATATTTAAAAAAAAATTAAAAAATTTCAAATGATTATAGGAATTTTTAGAGGTGTTAATATTCAAAAATGTTTATTACCTTTATATTAAACGATTTAATAAAAAATCTCGATAACCATTTTTGTTTTTTAAATTTTATTTGAATTTTTATTATTTTTATAAATAAAAGAATGTAATATAGATGGCGTTATATATTTTTTAAAATTATAATTTTTAATAAAAATATGAATAGTATTGTGATTAAAATTAAAAAATCAATTGAGTATAACCAAAAATGATGTCCTGGGGCGATATGTAAGCAGGCAGCCCATACAGATATTATTTTATTGACGCTATATTGTTTAAAATTCTATATTCAAACCATTATAATTTTGCGCTTATTAATAGAAATTCCTAAGGCCATAATTTGTAGATATATTCTTTCATGGATCTACTATCTTTATTATTTGAAAATAACGATTTTATCAGCTTATTTTATTTTTTTATTCCTAACATCGCTACCAATCAATCATATATTTCAAAACTTAAACATTTTTTACAACCAAATGAATTTATTATAATTTGTGATTTCTTTGAAAAATATGCATTTATAATCCAAGAGTTCAAGGATTCCACTGGAATAATAATCAAGCCACTATCCATCCTATGATAGCATATTATAATAATAAGGGCAATATAGAAAACCTGAATTATATGGTAATATCAGAGCCACTTCAACATAATGTTATTGCAGTATATTTATACCAGACTAAAGTGATAAAATTTTTGACCAATGAATTCAGCAAGCCAAACAAAATATATTACTGCTCTGACGGATCAGCTGCACAATATAAAAACAGGAATTTTTTTGTAAATCTATGTTATCATGAATCAGATTTTGGTGTAGCAGCTGAATGACATTTTTCAGCTACATCCCATGGAAAAGGTCCATGTGATGGCCTTGGCGGAACATTAATAAGATTAGCAGCACGTTCAAGCCTTCAGTACATCAGTTCTGGACACATTTTAAAGCCAGTTGATTTATATCAATTTTCAAAACAAAACATGCCATCAGTAAATTTTACATATATAACCAACGAACAATAAATTTACAAGAGATTAATTTACGAGAATGATTCAATTTAGCATTCCAGGAACTCGAGAAATACATGCTGTATTTCCTTTGATTTTAAGTAAACTTAAATCAAAAATATATTCATATGCAGATGACTTTCAAATTAACAATATCTCAAATGCCGATAATTTGTCTTTTGCTGATATTAAAGGATTCGTAACATGTGTTTATGACGATTTTTGGTTGTTAGCCACAGTACTAAAAATAATGAAATTACTGAGGAGATATATATTTCCTTTTTACATCCCCATCCTTCTTTTACCTCACAATTGCGGAAAAGATATGGTTAGCCATTAATCAAATAATAACAGTAGTAGATCCTATTACAGTGACAGGACGTGCCTACAAATTATCATCTCTAGAAATTCTATTAATAAGCACAAAATGGGATAAGATTAAAACAAGAGGTATTTATTTTTATATTGTTTATGTATAAAATTTTAAAATATGTTTATTTTACAATATTGCGTCAATAAAATAATATCTGTATGGGCTGCCTGCTTACATATCGCCCAGGATATCATTCTTGGTTATACTCAATTGATTTTTTATTTTAATCACAATATTATTCATATTTTTATTAAAAATTATAAACTATAAAAAAAATTAATATAACGCCATCT